AAGTGGGCTGTAGTCCACGAAAGCTTATGCTCTAATAAATTTGTTAGTCTCTAAGGTGACACTAAGAAAAGTGTCTACAATTACACTAGCTATGATTCAACTATTCTTGTCCAAAGTTCTGTTTTCTCCATGCAAGAACTGATATCACGAAGTGGTGCAAACAAAGCAGCTCCCTGATCTGTTTTAAGCAATGGTTACATCAGCTGCTGCAAGAGCAGCAAAAAACTATGATGATGTATATTTTTATTTGTCCACGATTTAACTAAAGGCATCAGCTATTGTATTCCTATAAGTAGATCTTTGTAGACACTCTAACTTCTATTAGTACAGGAAGAGAGATATAGAGAAGTCTTGGTGAGAAAGTGGCAATTACACTTCAGTCTAACTACATACCTCTAAAACATAATACTTCAAAAAGTTATTACTTTGTTGTATATGAAGAAAAAGATTCCAAAGTAAATAGAATTATCCACCAGTTCTAACTTTAAAAATCCCTTTGCTATCTTGTAGGAGTATTGTTTGTCTCAGTAATATGAAAATGCTTAATGCTAACCCTATTTATTAAGGGTTTGATCCTGAAAAGGTGCTGAGCATCCAAAACTCCCACTGAAATCCACCTCAGCTATAGATGCTCAGCATGTTTTGGGAACATCAAGCCTTCAGTTTCCCTTCTGTTGCACAATCTTGTTGACAGTCCTTGAGAAACAGCTTCTTTGTTAATCATTTTAACTGGATCAAAACATTGTAGGCTAAATACTCTCACAGTAATTATGAATATACTATATTGCAATTAAAGCCTCTGCCATATCCCAAATAAATTAGAGAGATGCCGTAGACCAGGGGTGGCCAAACGCAGCTCGTGAGCTGCATGTGGCTCTTTTGCACTTAAAATATGGCTCATAGAGCCCCCATCTTCCACCTACCAGACTAGAGCAGGGGAATCTTGGGGCTTCAGCCCCACAGAAGATGCCTGTCAGGGCTTGGGGTTTCAGCAGGAGTGGGGCTGAAGCTCCGAGTCCAGGCAGGCTGAAGTCCTGAGAACTTCTGAAGATTATACTATGTGCCTCGGAGGGTCAGTAAGTTTGGTCACTCCTGCCCTAGATACTGCCTCTGGCTGTTCTGTTGAAACGGATTTCTTTTTTTTTTTGTAAAGGTAACATTTTGTTCTGCAGTCTGACCAGGTTGAGATGTTTGGAATAGAATATTATGAATTGGGGAGGAGAAATCTCATGCTATTCCATGTGAGAACACCAGATGGCAGCTTTGAAGGTGCTCAAAAGGCTTTACAAATGTGACATTACCCCCTTCCCAAAGTTTATGACTGCACTTTTGAATCCAGTGCCTTAGTCGAATGTGTGGCCATGGAAGCCCATTAAAATATGTGCTTGTGTAGAATCGCTGGGATTACCTGGGAGTTAACAAGGTTAAGAATGTTTTAATACAGAAAATAGGAATGCTTTGTATATATATATCAGATCTTTGCAGAAAGCCACAATCTCAGAACCACTTAAGTCTGCTTCTCAGGAGTTTGCAAGACATAAATTGCCATAGGTTCTTTGAATGCAACATTTCTGTACCTTACGTTTGCCAGACACTGAAGTGTCCACTCTAAAATACTCTCTTAAGATTGTACTTGGAAGAGGCTCATGCAGGGAAATGAGAAAACCCCATGACACTCACAGTCACCCTAGCTGCAGCAACAGAATTTACAGATAGTAAATTTCTATTAATTCACATTGCCTGCATTTGTTTAGGACACCTGTGTATGCTTGTTACAGGAGACATGTGCTATCAGTGAATAGAAGTGACAGTAATTAACCAAAATACAGTTTTTTAAAATGTAAGCGTACCTCACAGAACTGGTGTAACAATGAAGATGGCAAAAAGTCCTGAGGCTGTAAGTGAACAGGAGGTCCAGTCCAATTGCTCTGAACAAAGAGCTGCAAACTGCCCACGCCAAGCAGAAATATCAACCTTTGTCTGCAAGACAGATAATCAAAGCAATTAACTGATGATATTTTTCATCAAAAAACATATTAGAACAGATTTAGTCTCATACCAATTAAAACACCCTTGCAGCCTTAAAATTTGCTATTTCTTACTGAAAGAAAAACAAAGATGAAGAAATTCAGTATCCAAGACGGTAGAGCTATGGGGGGGAAATAATGAGAGTATGGATATTATATGGATATCAAGAACATTCAGAGTTGTCATAATTAACAACAAGTATTTTAGAAGCAATATTAAGTCTCGTGCTTCATTGCTTAATCGCTAACTATTAGAGATCAGGGTAAGGCCTACTGTGGGGAGCAGATTAATCCACATCTACATAGTATAGGAGTCTTACACCTTCCTCTGTAGCATTTGGTACTTGCCAGACAGACAGAAAACTAAATTACATAGACCTTGGGTGTGATCCAGTATGGCCATTCACCACAAAGTTATGTTGGCCTAGTTGTGCCTGTGTCTACACTTAAATGTATTTCCCATTGATGTAAGAGCCCCATTATGTCAACACAGGAACACCACCTCCTTCAGTGACACAGAGCCATGGCCAATGTACTTAGGTCAAAGCAGCATGAGTGCAGACACCATGTTACTTACGTCGACCCTAACTATTCTCCAGAAGCTGTCTCATAATGTCCAATGCTGACCACTCTGGTCACCATTCTGTACTCCACTGCCAAGGGGTCATGTAGACCACAGTCGTCACTCCTGACCTTTAAAATCACACAAGTTTTTGAAATGCCTATTCCAGATTGCCCCACTTGACAAGTGCATTTAGCAGCTCTCCGTTGTTGAATGCAGCTGGCCAGCTGACCATGCCAGCTACATGCTCCTAATGCACTCCTGCCTGGGGGAGACAGATTTTTGCATCTCCTGGGCCTGCAGGGAGAAGTGGCTGTGCAGGTACAGCTCTGAATCAGCCTTAGAAATGTCAACATCTATGAACAGATTCCTTGGAGGATGCAGTAGAAGGGGTACAACAGGGACCAGCAGCAGTGCTCTGTGAAAGCCAAGGAGTTACGGCAGGCATACAAGAATGCCAGGCAGGCTAGCAGTTAATTTGGTGCTGAGCCACAGGCTTGTTGCTTTTACAATGAGCTGCATGCCATATTCAGTGGAGACACTCACCCCACACACACACCATGGATACCTCCAAGAAGCCCAAGTCACAGGCCCCTGCTGAGAACAGCAAGAAGGAGGAGGTGGAAGAGGAACGAGAAGGAGGAGTATGGGGGAACAGGTGACCGAGGGACTCAGTTGCGCAGCAAGCCAGGACCTGTTTTTGCCTCCACTTCAGTTCAGCTAGTGCAACACAGCCAAGCCCAATGCAGGGTAAGCGTGTAGATAAATTTTCAATGACAGGAGTGGCACTCTCAAAATAGCAGGAAACATCTTTTGACTTTTCATTAATTTACTCGTGCTAGAAGAGGAAGTGGTACAACCAAGAGAGGCAGAGTTGCTATCTGCTTTTCATTCCCCTACAGAGTTCAGTGTGAGGGTCCATGCAGAGAAATTTGTTTATGTACACAGGGATAGCCCTTGAATCCTTCCAAGAGATCTTTATGACCCTTTCAGGGAAGTACCCTGCAATCCTCTGCAAAAGGTTTCTAGAGAGGGCTGCCTTATTTTGTCCTCCGCAGTAGGACACTTTCCCATGCTGCTCAGCGATAACTTCGGCAGGCACCATTGCAGTACACAGACTAGCAGCATATGGGCTGGGGTGACTTTGGGACGCCAGTAGTAACTATGCTTGCGCCCCGTTACTCTCAGGAGTGAGATATCAGCAAAAATCACCCCTGCCTGCGGAAAACGGTGCCAATATTCAGTGGCATTTTCCTATATAACTGAGCAATTCCCTCCTCGTTTTCTTAACCACCTGCAGGCCATACTCCTGGTGGCTGTTGCTGTGACTGCACTGCACAAGGAATCCCAAGCAGGAGTGAGAGGGTAATGCTTAAAACTTGAACGGAGCAGCAGAGAGAGTTTAGCATATTACATTTCTCTTTCTGCAGTAAATACACTTACAATGGTACCTCTGTGTATTTTATCTGCAGCTCCTGCCATC